TCAGCTCTGTCTAGCTGAGACTGTCCTGCCCAGGGAAACATCCTGTTAAAGCTACAGGATACCGGTAGCACCAGGATGAAACTCCAAACCACCCCACTCTACACCGCCCAGCGCTCCCTATCCCTGCTCCATTCTGCTCCACCACGCCCTGCCCAGCTCTTCAGAAATTTGACATCATGAAATTACAATAAATGAGAATGCAACAAAACCATTGCACCATTGTTTACTGCCACAAAAACCTTAGACTGCCGTTAGAATTGGCTGCAACTGATGTGAATCTTAACTGAGGTGGTCCCTTCCCTTGGACTGAACACTTCGGGCAAAAGATTTAGAGAATCTGGCATCAAAAGTGAAGTCACTTACATGTGCGAGACGGTCGAAGCGTGCAAAGAGTTCGTTCAACATTCGCACCAGCTCCTGCGCCGACAGCGTTGTGGAGAGGTTTGTGAAACCTTTAACATCTGCGAAAAGAATGCTGAATAAAATATGGAAATGTCACTTTAATATCCAGGACAGTTCTGTAAAACCAGCCAAGTACTTAGAACACTTGATGATAATATGATTATATAACCAACATGTTTCTGTGAGGCCCTGTTCTCCTGCACTGCCATGAAGATGTGCGAAACTCAGTCGATACCAGTTTGGCTTCCAATGTTCCCGTAGACTGAAGTGACAGGTGATCACACTCTGGTCTGAAACCATAACCTCAATCAGATCACTAAGGGCCCGAACACGCCCTACGGTATCTATGTGGACACAGATGCTTCAAGCTAGGCAAGACTGATTTCATATGTTACGTTCTCCTGAAAAATCTCAACGTGACTCAAACGCAAGTGGCAATTTCTAGCTTTCTAGCTAGAGGCGCTGTATCGTGAAACAACATGAGAAAGACGACCCCTACTGTTGGGGTTAACAGGCTTTTAGGTCATTGTATTTATCAGGTGTCATCCTGAAATATTCAAAGTATCTCCTCATCAGAACGCATTGGTTTCACTAGAGAGACAAGTTCTCCATCTCTTTTTGGTGATCGATTCAAAGGTCACACATCCCATTGTCATTGTTTTTTCTTCTCTCTGTGCACTAAGTACAGCAGTACACATTCCTCCATGGACGCCATTTGTTCTACTGTTGTCATGGCAACACCGAGCTTCAACTTCCTGATATCGCCCCCTTGTGGACAGAGCTTTGTGACCTCCACTGGCGAGCAACAGCACACATTGACTGCTCACTGGGGACACGCATTAGGCCTGGTGCCTGGTGTCATTTGCGTCCACACCATTACGTAGGACATGTTCAGGCTCTGACTATCAGCTCAGACAGGACGTCTATCAAGTTCTGTGTTTTAAAAAGGAACAATAGTCAGGATCTGGTTTCTGTGTGACGATGAGTCATGTGTTAGAGGGCAAACAGCTTCCCAGGAGCCAGGTTCACACTGGACACCACCGAGCCGACACAAGTTTGTGAGCTGAGCACAGACTTTATGAAAATCAGGTGAAGATCGTGTTTTGATCACAAATATTAGATGCTAGTGTTCTATATGGAAAGCACATGATCACTGTGTGTTAATGTGTAAACTACGTTGGAAAATGTACAGTAGAAAATTACACTACATGATTCAGAAATGCAGTTTGTCATGGCAGAAAAGACACGGGTGCAAATAACACAAATGTTTCATCCCATTCAGGATGCGAAGCAAACTGTGGCTCTACAGAGTTCAACGCATTTGTTTTTCCAGTGAAATCTCGCCGTCTGTAACTGATTTAACTGTTGGCAGCTCCTCTGCTTGCTTTGTATTTTAGATCCACACACAATATACATAAATAATCAAATCAAGCATTATTTGGTCCGCACACTGAGCACAACACTCATAATCCTGCATCTAATCTGGTGCTGGGACCCTGCTGGTCCCCCCAGTGAAACAGTAGCCAGGATCTGATTAGATTTAAAACTGGATTTAGGCGAGGAACAAAACAAAACTGTTTCACTATGATAAATATGTAACTGCAAAGGAAACAACTTGTAGGAAAATACGACTGTCTGGGAATAAACACCAGTGATGACTCTCACTCAGATGCCGCTCTCAGTCAGCTCAGCTCTGTTTTAGATGTGTATGAACTGAACTGGGACTAAAGTGGATCAGGATACTCAGCCACACTAATAAATAATGCCTACAGCGCTCAGTGTTCAAAATTCATGTGCAAGCTACAGTTACTGTGATCACCTGACATTCTCATAGCGGTGGATGTAGATCCTGTGAAACTGATGCTGCAGGTGTTCGTCCTCTACAGTTGTCATGTCGTTGATCATTTCCAAAACTACAAACCGTGGCAGGACTGACAACACCAGCCTCTCCTGTAGGGGGGAAAAGGAATTGCATTAGTACTGGAACAAAAAATATGGCATCTGGTGGCAAGAAAGTTCCAGAATAAAGTGTGATGTGACTCCTCCTTCTTTCAGAGGCTCCTTTAAATATGCAAATGTTTATTGACAGACAGTAAGACGTGGAGGTTTAAGTTCAAAATCCACATTTTAAAGAGTTTAGTGTTCTACAATGGATAGGAAAAAATAAGATTAGGAGCAAAGAAAAATGAAATGGGGACACAAGTCAGTAAACAGGAAAAGCCAAATGAAAAACAAATGTGTACAAACACTGTTAAGACAGGATCTGCCAGCCCAAGCTCCTGGAGCAGGATCCTCCAGAGCCTCCAGGCCTGCGGGAACAACACAAACAGCCAAATTTGTCTTGTGGTTGTTGTGCTGATGCAGTGCCAGTTGGCAAAATCACCAACAGATTTGGAGTGGGAGCGGTGCAGCGTCCCTCAGAGATCTGACCCCGACGCCAAGCAACTGCCTCACTCACATACTGAATATATTATAACCAAGGCTCCTTAAATCATGTGACAGGTGGCGTCAGCATGCTCCCGTTCAGAAACCCAGCGGCTCTGATACTTTAAGTAACATTTCAAGATAATTTTGATGTTTTTGTTCCTTTATTTTATACATCTTTAATAAATATAATGTGTTAACATTTGGCTTATCTCGTTTTCTTTAGGAAATCTCCTTCAGATCTGCGGTAGCATGGTCCTACTGTATTTAGCATGAAAACCAACCAGCCTGCATGTTTTTCACAATAAAACACATGGGCAACATGTGCCAGATTGTTTTCAGCAGTTTGAAATGTGCAAAGATTGTATTTTGAACAAAAATGGACGACTGTACTGGACAAACTGGGCAGTGACGAGTTAACCGTCCTGAGACGTGACAGGCTTTGACAAAGAAATCACACTCTGTCAACTTTTTCATGACTTTTACTTTGGCGAGCCAGCAGGAACACTCCCTCATGCCCTTTCTTTTTGGTTCATGAATGTGATGCATAAGATGTTCTCTTTTATCTGTTTGTTTTAATAAGTCTGGTCATTGTTAATCTTTTGTCTGGGAAAAATATAAAAAGGAAAAGTTATTCAATTATATAAAAATGTGAGATTAAATTTGTGACCGTGCACCTTCACCACTACATTGTGACACCTGTAGAAAAGCAGCATGACTGTACAGGTTGTTCACTGTGGCCCCTGAGTGGATCGGAGTGCACTTTTCCAATAAAAGTCCTGTGGACCCTCCCCTCAGTCACTCTTTGCTCAAACAAATACAAACCTGTTCATTATTTTCTCACTGAAAGACAAACAGCCTGCTGATGCTGTTTCATTAAGGCAGTCACACCAGTGAATCCAGTTCAGGACTGGGAAGTTAGGTTAGAAAAACCTGTGTGACCTCTGTCTGCTTTCTACATGCACTTCCTGTCTAATCGCCATCACCACAGAGCAGGAGCCTCTGTGTTCTCACAGTGTGTTGGCAGAGCCGCCGGGCCCTGATTGATTCACATAAAGGCGGTTTGCTCAACGCCAGGCTGTCTTATCCCTGAGCTCAGAGCCGAACGCTTCCAGGAAACAAACAACGCCGCAAAAGCTTTTCTGTGGCTTCTCTGGGCCTTTGTGTCTGTGTCAGTCTAAAAGCTCCATGTTTGTGAGCCTATGTACATCTACTCATATGGTGTGTATTGATTCTATTTGAGTGTCTGAGTGTTGCCTTGCTTGCAGTTGTGGATGTGTTTGTGCCCGCGTACCTGTGAGACAACAGTCCTCCCTGTCGCTACACATTCACCAACACTGGGCTGGTGAATGTGGGTCGGGCCTGTTCTGTAATTGCATCCACAACCCTCTGGTAAAGCTGTTTTAATATCAGCTAAGAGAAGACCTGCAGGTGTTTGGTGTTACATACACGAACTGTGCATTTCTTCCAGTTCATTTTCTGGGACATGCATCACACTTCACAGCAATCCAGCCAGTAGTTGTCATGATGGTGGGACCAGAGGAAAACACAGTTGACACATATAACCATGATGCTGCTTTTGCAAATGCAGAAAATTAAGAAATACAGAAAATCACTAGCTGAGCACCAAGCAAGGTCAAAATAAGAGACAGTGCCATCCTATACAGCACCAGAACCAGTGTGTGGTTCCACAACAGGCGAGGTTTCTGCATCAGGCTGTGGACTCACCTGTCGCTGGTTTTCTGTCTCGAGTCGCAGCCGAGCCTCGATGCAGCGCCGCGTCTCCAGGAAGGCCTGGCGCTGCGCCCGGTCCGACAGGTAACTGATGAATATCCCAGCAGTGTTCATACACATGAACAACACCGCCTGAGCCACCACCTGAAACGTACAAGCAGAGGAGAAAGTCATGGCTCGCTTTGAAACCACGAGCTCATTTTTGGAATCAGGGTTCTTCACAAGACTGGAAACCAAAAAGCACATGATGCACAAGAAGCTCATTTACTGGACAGTTTCTAAGTCACATGACATCACTCCTGCATAACCAATATACCACCACAAGAAAACAGTTCAGGACCATCATTTGCTGAACCCCAAATACTTTGCTTAGAAATGTGCAGGTCAACAAACATCTAGTTGTCCAGGTTAAAACTGGACTGTTACTTTTTTTAGAATATTTTGAACTTTTTATTAGTTGACAGATGAAAATCCAATTATTATCCAGTTCCAAAACTCACTTTACACCTCTTACATTTGATTCACAGTTGTTCGACAAGCTGCTGGTGCATCACTGCCTTTAGACAGAGCTGGGAGCAAAATAAGCAGAGAGTAGTGTATAATATGGTGAAGTGATGAGGGCACATTATTCAACTGGAGGAAGACAATTAGTGTTTAAATTAACTATTTGGAGTGTGTTTTTTTTTTTAATTTGACTACACATATGGTCAAATTGAGGGATAATGTATCAGCTGTATCCTCAGTAGATTCTTCCTTCATTAAAATCCAAGAATCACATTTCAACAAATCACATGAGTGACTCGGAGAAACAGCAGCTCTCCTGAATTCTGTGAAAGATGACAGAGTAAAGCCCGGGTGCTTTCATCAGCCCTGATACAGTGGAGTGACGACCAGCTCGGCCTATCAGAGAGTAGGGCTGATGTAACAGTCTGCAACACCATCAGGGAGTTCACCACCATTGCTGCTGCCGCCCCCGACCGGCTTCCTCCTGCCTGCTGGAGCTTCACATGACGCAAGTGTTGGAACAGGGTGGCTCAGAGTTCAAACCCTCCGCTGCTTCACACGCATTTGTCAGTTTGAATGTTTGACTTCAATGTTCACTGAGCCTCAAACTCAAGCCCAAGAGCTCTCCTCTAACATGCTGAGCTATTTGCACTGTTTTCAATTTCTTAGAGCTTTTCAGTTTTTCTTTTGGGAGCTGTGTAAAAGAAAAGTTGGGGCCTCCTTTTGTAGCTTCAGGGTTGTGGGTTTGAGCCCAGTGATGTGCAGTGACTCCAGCAACCAGAGCTGCATTGTCTCAGTGTCTCTCTAGACAAAGATTTGAGATCCTGGGCTCATTCCTCAGGATCTTCAGCCTTTTGATATCAATTTTATCGGCCAGGTATGTTACACACACACACACGAGAAATATGTCTGTGGTACAGAGGTAGCCGTCTGCGGCGCCAACTCACACACCGATGGTGGCACTGTCCCAACAAGGTGCTGCCCTGTCCATTGGGAGCAACCTAGGGTTCAGTGTCTTGCCCAAGGACACTTCAACATGCAGTCTGGGGAGAATGGGAATTGAACTATCTACCTTCCAGGTGAGGGATGACCGCTCTACCTCCTGAGGTCCGACACCCACAGTAAACACAAACTTGTCAGCCCAAACAGCTCAGCATGTCAGTGGATGGCAGGGAAGATGTGAGCTTGAGACATCAATCGTTGTGACGTCCAGCACCTGAAGTGAAGACTGAAAGGCGCTAAGAGAGGAGCTCTGAGTGTGACACTGTCCTCACCTGGGCAGGTGACTTATTGACCGACAACCTCATCAACCACCTGCAGATACAGTACAGTCTGCTGAAAACTGTGACCTTTTGAAAGCGACAGGACAATACAGCGGATGCTTAGGATCTGACCAGCCCGGGCTCTGACCCCAATTCCTCCCCAAACACACAGGTCTACAGCTGTGAGTTCAGTCATTATCATAATACATCGCCTAGCCACACAGCATAAGGTTAGAGATCAGGAAACTGTAAAACCTAAACACTGCAATGTATATTTAAATGCCTCATTAACAACTCCTGAGTCTCAAAGTGATGCTGATTCAGTTACATTAAAGGTGCTTCATTGCTCCTTTTTTTTTAGAAAAGAGAAAATGCTTTTGCAGAGCTGTGTCCCATCTGATAAAAACCTCAGAGTGTTAGTGTCCTCGGTCGCTCTGCTGCCATTTCCCTCGGCACGAAAACTGCAGCACTAATGGAGCATGAAGAGGGGGTTTTCTGATACCTGGTGCCATCACCAGTACAATGCTTTGTGGAGAGCAAGCTCACTTTGATGAGGGGCCTTTCCTGCCACGAGAGGAATGACTGTAGATCCTCAAATAGCAACACAGGCATTATTTACTTTTCTTGAATAAATGATCACAACGTACAACGTGTAAACTGACCTGACCGTGCCGACTACACTGGCCACTGTGCCACTGAGAATTTTGAGTATCATCTCAGAATATCAACATGTTCTTTGCAAAACACTTTCAATTCTTGTAACAAACCTACTTGTTAGATTCACTGTTAAGGGGGTCTCCACAGAAATATCAAAACTATAGCAAGCTGAGCCTTTAAGGTTTTATTAAGTAGAACAGTTTTAGCATCATCCAGTGCTGGTGGTGGAGCTCATTAATTCAATGGAAAGGCCTTCGTCTGCTGCAGGAAGCCTTGAATGTCACCATTAAAAAAATCTCCTAGAGTGAACTTCACATTTAAAAGTGGATGTGTGTAGGAGTACCAGAGAATTTTTTTCAGCTCCACACACACACTGATCTTTGTCACAGTCGTTCCCCTGAGGCTCTTCATCTCACAGAGCCGCGGAGCCTCCTGGAGCAGTGCGCTGTGCTACTGTGTGTTATTGTGAATCTTTCCCAGGATGCCATCAGCGCCAATTCAATTTCTTCGTTGGCCCCTGAAGGCCTCTGCTCCTCCCATGGAGATGAAAATTAAAACCCCCATAAGCTGCGGCAGAAGAGGCGGTGTCCATGTTGTTTTGGAAAAGAGCAGCTCCAGCTCGCCATAAAGGGCATCAGTGTGGAGTCCGCCGGTGCTTTCATTAAAGGAAGATACCAGTGATGTGGATGTTTTTAAGAAGGCCTCATTAGGGGCCACAGGCCAGGAAGAGGCAGTGCTTTAAAAACAGCTACATGGAAAATAATCTGTCAGGGTTATTAATAATAATAATCATCATCATGTTTCCAATTTGACTCAAGAGTGAGTAGTGGCACACAGGGTGGCATGGAAAATAATCACCTGCAATTGTCTGTGCTCTGGTTGTAACAATGTGTTGTTTAAGAAGCCATGAAAGTGACATTTACATCTCTGATCCCCGATAATAAGAAAAGGACTTGTTGCCTTGGGAACACATCTCAATCTGACATGCAAGCTTTTCTGTAGCTTTCATACTCCCATGTGCTCACAGCAGCATGTGGTGAAGTGACAAGTGAGCAAAGAAGGAAAGGCAAGAAGAAAAACCCATTAAATATTCTGTCCAGGGCACCAGCTACTCCCCCTGGGGTCCACACACAACATGCAACACACATATAAAAATATGTTCACATCAAATAAAGTCAACTAAACTCACCTGTGGCAGACATGAAGTGATGTTTAAAGTGAGAGAGAGCACATACACTTCACCACTGCACTCAAAATTCACCCACTTCCTGTTTGTCAGCGGCCATTCACACACATTGGCTAGCCATCTGCATGGACACACAGCCCAGTCTCTGCTCCCAGGACACAAAACGCTTTACCATGATCATCTCCAGAACCTTCTTCTGTCTTACACTGAAATACCATATTTCCTAGTCTAACAGTGTTCTGTTTGTGTGCACACTGACGTCAACGTCTGCTGCACCCCACCTTGTTGTGCACATTGGTGCCATCTATTTTCAGTGGAAAGTAACTGAAAATTCACTAGATGCCAGATTATCAACTTCCAACCATGACTCGACTTCCACACCTTCACTTATAGCCACAACATTCAGCGTTGTCACTGAACACAAACGGCGTCACATGTAGAGAGTCTGAGGGTGCACCCCAAGTCTCTTATAAGCACTGTCCCTCACTTGTGTCTTAGTCCCTCACACAAAACATGAGGAGAGAAGACTCAAGGAAACTAGTTTTTAAAGACATGAGATGTCCTTTCCACCAATCCTTCATCTGAAGTGTCCAATCACCAACTTATTTCTGATAAAAGGGCATCGGTCTCACTCCGCTGCCAAACGAAGGGACCGAATCTGTGACTCTGAGGTGCAGAAGAGGACAGCGGATGACCGAGATCTTCTGCAGTCAACACATCACAGAGAATAATTCATCACAGAGCAATATGGCTCTGATGTTTTCTGCAAATCTCTTCTTTTCTGTTTCTTTCTCCAACTAAGTGTGTGAAGCTGATGAAAACTGGGACAGGATGATGACCTGGGACATAAAATGAGTCAAGTTCCAAATCTACCAACACAAGCTTTGCACTGGGTTTTTGAAATCAGGGGCATTATACAGGGATGTGCGGAGTCTCCTTGCTGGGCAAATAAAAGCTGATTTGTTTCCAAAGCTCTGCATATTTTAACTGTTAAAACCACCTTTGTGTGCTCTGCTCAAATCCCTCACAACAGCTGACTGAACAGCACGCATGACTAACAGCCAGTCCTCTCAATTAATAACATCCCTCGCAGCGTGTAGCAGCAGGGGTTAAAAACTCTGCCACTCTGGCTTCATTACAGCAACATTTCAGGTGGATAAACCTCTAAAAAGCTCATGATACATTTAAACCCAGTGTTTGGTTAATGGTAGGAATGAAAAGTGGCTTTTTAAATCAGAAAGAGCCACATTCATACACACACTTCACCTTCCACAGATATTATAGACACTACACACTGCAAGGAAACTGGACAACACAGAGGAAACCATTAATATGAAGCTGACTGCATTTAAATAGAAGCCTGGTTCTGTTTAGAGATGCTAAATGGGCTGCACTTACAGGACAGAGTGTGTTCTACCGGACCAGGCAAAGTAATTTACAACTGCCACAGGTTCACACATTTGGGGCTCTTTGTCTTGCCAAGGGGCATTTTGGCACGTGGACCAGGGATCAAACCGTCAACCCTGCAGTTAGTG